GCGGCCGGGCTGGGCGGGGGGTGGGGGCTGGGGAGGCGACTCGGGGAGAGAAGGGGCCCCCACCCCACTGTGGACCAGCCCAATTTGGCCCAAGCGCCTCGCTGCTTCTCTAGGGGACGGGGTGGCGAGGCGGGAATAATAAAATTTGATAAATGCACTCTATGTGCCTCGTACTGCCCTGGATACATTCTCTCGTGTTATTTAATCCGTAGAAAGTCCCAGCAAGGTAAATTTAGTTATTCCCATTTTACACTTGAGGAAGCTGAACCTCCTGACTTTCAGGCAGGAGACCAGGCTCCCCCATTTAGTAAGTGGTGCCCAGGATGCTCTTTCCCCCATTTGCTGGGCTCCCTGTCTCCCTCGATCTTCTAGATCAAGGAAGGTGGCGTGGCCCTGAACTCCCGGTCCCTATGACCTATGCCTTTGGCACCACAAATTTAGAATTGAGCCCCTTTCCCCAGGGAGAGCCTCCGCCCCCTCTCAAGTCTCCATGCAACACCATCCTAGGTAATTAGCTCATGTCTCCTACCCCCAACTCAACTCCTATCCAAAGCGGTGGGGGTGAGGGCACGTGCCAGTGCCTCCCATGGGTTTGCATGGACCTCAAAAGACCCTCCAGATATTTGAAAACCTCTCCAACCCCATGGTGGTGACTAAGGCTCCATTGTCCTAAGGAACCTTTGCTGAAGCTGTTGTAAATGATCAGGACTGATCACACTGAAACGTTCATACAGTTTCAAATACTTTCAACTATTTTGGTGTTTTCCATTTTGTCCAATTAAAAAAAAATTAAGATTCTGGGCCGGCCTGTGGCTCACTCGGGAGAGTGCGGTGCTGATAACACCAATACCACGGGTTCGGATCCTATATAAGGATGACCGGTTCACTCACTGGCTGAGTGTGGTGGTGACAACACCAAGACAAGGGTTAAGATCCCCTTACCGGTCATCTTTAAAAAATAAAAAAATAAAAAAAAAATTAAGATTCTTGAGGGTATTTCCACCTTAGCTCTTTCGAAGACTTGAAATGGCAAAAATAAAATATTGCAAACATTCTTGAGAATGGGATGAAATTATTCTATAACATTTGAAATGGATAAGTATAATAAATCACATTTCAGGCAAATGTGTCTGTCATTTGGATAAGCTGATCACTTTGGAGCAATTAGCCTGAACTGTAGTCACCCTTCCAGCTTGGCTAAAACTCTCCCCTCCCACTACCTCCTGCCTGGGCTCAGCAGCTCATTCTCCCTAAGACAGGGTACTTATTTTGATAATTAACATTTATTGAACTCCTGCTATGAACCAGACATATTTGCATAAATTATTTCATTTAATCCTCACAGCAACCCTGTGCAGTAGATATTACTAACCTAATGTTTTAGGTGGGAAAACTGAGGTATAGAGAGATTAAGTAATTTTCCCAAAGTAACATACTATTAAGTAGCCGATCTAGGATTTTATGATGCAGGAGACATAAAACAAGTACAGGAAACACATGGTTACTAATTATTGGCCCTGCCTCCCAAAGCAAGTCTTGAGAGTAGAGAGAGAATAGAGGGCTGCGGCAGGGAGAGCAGCCTTCTTGGCAGAGAGGCTCACACAAAGCTGCCCACCACTCACAACTACCAAAGACAGACCCCTCCGCTATCTGGAGCTCAGGTCTCTACTGACCTCTACTAACTGGAACACAGCCAAGAGCCACAAAGGCGGCAAGAAAGCCTTGGAGAAGAGAAAAGAGGGTCTCAAAGTGTATAAACACTTTACTCACTCATGTAATATTTGCAGCAACCCTATGAGACAGGTACTGTCATGATTACCTGGGAGGAAACTGAGGCACAGGGAAAATCAAAACCCGTCCCAGGTCACTCAGCTGCTAAGTGATGAGCCAGGATTCAGAGCCTTGGAGGCCACTGAGGAGGGTGGCACTGTAGCTCACACATTTTACTCAGAGAATTGCCCCTCCTGGTTCAGATCCTACTTACACACCTTGCTACCAAGGCTAGTTACGTAGTTGCTAAAGGTTCAATTAGTCCTAATGATTTAGAACGGTGGGGGAGGGGCTGGTTTAAGTCACACTCTGGTAGCAGCAAGAAGTGACAACTGATACCTTGATAGGAAGGGAGGAGACAGAAAAACTATGAAAAAGCTGACAGAGAACTTAAAAAGACAAAAGTGGAGTAATTTGGGATCAAGAACACAAGTGCTTCACTGCGTTGCAGCCCAGAATAAACACTGGTGTAAATACTGAGTCCCTGAGTCATGGGAGAACCGTGAAGCTATGTTCCAGGGTGCAGCCACAGTGGGGAAATGAAAAACAGTAGGTGATGATAGCAGCAATCCTTGACTCTTGGGAAACTCAGCTATCTCGAAGAGTCATTCTTCCAGACCAGAGTTCTAGTTAATGGAGGTCATGTGGTATTTTCATGTTCTTAAATTCCATAAGTATATATGTTGGGTCTCTATTGTGTGCTGGTTACTGTGTCAGGCACTGGGGCAATCCAGCTCCCTCAGGAAGCTGACAGTCTAGTGAGGGAGTCTATAAAGTACCAGGTCAGAGGAGAGCTGGAGAACAGGAGGCTGTGTAACAAGGCAGCTCCCCCTGATCTGGGAGGGGCC